AGGCTCGGGTGGCTATTTCCAAAATGAGAGGCAGTGAGCTATTCATGGATTCTACGGGAATCCTATGACATCTATCTTCATGTATTATCTCCATGATCGAGCTGAGACGGAGGATGTTGGACTTTGGTTGCGTCTTTTGTCTTCCTCGACTATGGCTTCGTTCACCAGGGAGCAATTCGACACGTATTCCCTGAGATTCATACCTGTTTTGGCAAATAGTTGTTTTGATCGTTTGTACTTTCCTATTGCTTCGTCTACTGTATTCGCTGTCAACAATATATTGTCGACGTACAGATTTTTTGTGATTTCTTCAGCAAATGGAGTGCTCTCTTTAGTCAGATAGGTAAGGATTAACATGTTGTATACTTGGTGACGCGGTCACCCCATACGGTAGTCTTAATCTATATTCGACTACATTGGGTTTCGTTGGTGTGCAGTTTATGTCCTTGACCCATAAAAATCGGCATAGGTATTTGTGGTCAGGGATCAACCTGATTTGAGTGAACGCTGCTTGTTTCAACACAGGTATGGAAAATGAATTTATTAACAATGAATAACAATAATGAAACGGTCGTAATGTGGGAGAGAGCCAGCGCCCCGTCTACTCAACCCCCCGGCTTATATACGTGAAACGGGGCCATATTTTTATGGCCCCGCCAAGGTTGTCGTAGTGACCTAGAAAGGGTCGCTATACGACAACACTGCCGGGGGGCAGAAGGGGCGAAAACACGACAAATTTAACAAATTTTCTTATCGGCTTGGCAACGGCTTGCATGGCTGGGTGGATAGCGGCTCGATGGCGTGGTAGTGGATGAGGCAGAGTGACGACTGGCTTGGCTGGCGTAACGGCGGAATATACAGATATAATAGCAACAGTCGTAGGTGGTCGAATGTGTGCAGTGGCGGTGAAGAGGCGGTATGAATACTGACGAAGGGATGGATGGGTGGGGTATTCATGCCGGGTGCCTCCGCTTGCGGTAGGAGTACGGTGCACTCCCTTGCCTGTTGGGACAAAGGAGCACATTATGCTCCCTACCGCAGCATGGACACGATATCTCGCATCTAGAGTCATGGCGAGCTTTCAAACACTTCTCACACAGAGAAAGTGCGGCCACCCGCATGGCGCGGGCTACTGAATCCTGGTAGTTTCGGCATCGTGAGGAGGAATGCCCATCTCTACGCTCGGGGGAGCAGAAGATGCACTGAAGACGAGGAGCATTTCGCTCCACTAAGGTCGCGACTTGAGACCGTACCCTGTCAATTGCTGCGAGCAAATGGTCTATTCGCTGCTCAAGCGATCGAATGGCGATTGCAATGGTGTGGAAAGGGGCACCAACCTCAGCTTCGTCAAGTAGCGAATACAAGTCGACAGACATCGTTCGTGAAAGAGTGCTGTGGGAGGTATTTATACGTCATCTTTTTTTGTTATCGTGCTTGATGTTGCGTTATCTAGGTTTTTGGTTATGATAACGCTATGTGTTGCGCAATCATTCCTTATTGCTGTGCGATAACGGCTTATCTCGCCAGTGTGCAAGTAAACAGAATTAAGAAGTAATTTTAAAAGTAACAGAAGTAACAGAAGTAATTTTTATGGCCCCGCCAAGGTTGTCGTAGTGACCTAGAAAGGGTCGCTATACGACAACACTGCTTCAGTATCGCAGAGTAAAATGATCTTTGGTACTCTGCTAGCTAGTAGAATGTATAGGATTTTATTCACCAGTGATTCGCCTTTGTGAGTTACGTCATTTAGTGATATCCCTTAGTTTCGATGATGCGTCGAAAACTATCCTCAGGGGCTTGGGTTTGTGAGCTCGCCATACTCCGGAATGCGGCATGTAGTATGTCTTCATCGATTCAGACGTTGTTGCGGGGACTTCTTCAATGATATCGTTGATCCTGCCTGGGCACATTTATGACGTGGAATATTTGATATAACCCGGTGTTTCTCTGGTGTAATAGTGAGAAATTCTTGCACATTTCAATTTCATGTAAAGTTTAGTGACCGTTATCAAACCAACAGACTTATTGGCGTGCATTATTTCGCTGCATATTTTGGAGTCAATATGGTTGAAGAGTATTTCTTGATCATATTCGTAGGAGCAGGCGTCTTCGTTAGTGCATACTAACTCCGCGGTAAGGCGCATATATCCATGTTGGCAGAGGAAGTGGGTAGTCGTATAGTGGCCCTTCTAGATCACAACGGTGGTTCAGGTACAACGATTTTGACTCAACAATTGAGCGGGCAAAAAAGAATTATTTCACAATGACAAAAATACACAAATGATAAAACGTTGGAAGAGCTCTCTTCTCGCTCTGCCCCCCCCCCCCCCGGCTTTCATACATGGAACGTGGCCATATTTTTATGGCCCCGCCAAGGTTATCGCATAGTGACTTAGAAAGGCCACTATACGATAACAGTGTCGGGGGCAAAAGGGAAGGGGGGGAACACAAAAAAAATTGTTTTTATCGACTTGGCATGGCGGCTGATGAGTGGGTCGGTGATGGCTGCTCGAAGGTATGGAGTGGATGGCTGCTCGAATGGGAGTAGGTGGCTGCGCGAATAGACAGTGTAATTAGATGCTCGAATGGGTGGGTAGATGGCTGCTCGAGAATACAAGAGGCCATAGCGGCCAGTAGCTATGATGGATGTGTTCTTTTGCGGTATGAGACGTGCTCCCCTCTATTGGGGCAAAGGAGCAGGCTGCGCTCTCGACCACAACATTGGCACGACACTTCGCATCTAGTGTCGTGCCGTGTTTTGAGGCAGCGGCAGCCACACGCATAGCGCGGACCACTGGGGTTCGTTTCCCTGGCGGGGGGGGGGGGGGGAGGACTGAGTGAGGGGCCCGCTCTCGTTTCGCTCTTTGTATGGTCATGCCGAAAGGTGCACAAAAAAACGCACTAGACCAGGAACTTCCCTCCATGCAAATGGAAACACACCAGCAAGTTCGATTAATGGATTCGTTTACTCCACGTCCACTACGCACAACAATAACAATATGCGCAATTTTGCTGCTGTTTCAAAGGAAGTTTACGCCCCTTCGATAAGTGAACACTGCCGTGGGGAGGGAGGGGGGGGGCAGAGGGGGCGAAAATACGAAAAAATTTGAAATGTTCTTATCGGCTCGACAACGGCTTGAGTAGGTGCTTGAGCGGGTAGCGGCGATTGGCAGAGTCTTTGCCTTGTTGAATTGTGCATATGCTGTCCTTTGTTAGGTTAGTGCCCTAGGCTTTTTTGCCAAGTTTTCCTTGGTCTTTTGCTAGTTTTATGCCCTAGACTTGCGATCGGCAACGGCTTTCTGATGCACCAAAAAGTTGACTCAACATGGGTGTGGGCAAAAAAGTTCATTTAATAAGGACATAATTCACACTGAGTAAATGTACGAGAGCGGGCCCCACTCAGTCCCCCCCCCCGGCTTTTATACTTGAAACGAGGCCATATTTTTATGCCCCTCCAAGGTTGCCGTATAGTGACCTAGAAAGGCCACTATAAGACTACACCCCCCCCCCCTTCCTCTTCGGTAACACGAGCCTATAGTAAATAGCATCAGGTATACGACAAACCAAGTCTCGATAGTTCAAGACCAGAGTTGTTGAATATTCATTTCTGCCAAAGCCTTTCACGCTAACCTTTCCTAGAAATGTGCTCATTTTTGTTCGTAAATCCATGAAATCGCATCAATTATGCCGTATTAATATGGAAAGAATGGACAAGAGGTGTGATACCCGAAAAATACCAGCGATCTTGCGTGATATAAATGCTGCAGCAATACATGTTGGATTTTTTTTCCAAAATTGAGAGGAAAAACGGCAGGGAGAGGTCAATGATTAGAAGAAGACGTCACTGAAGGAACAAATGCAGCTTTAAATTTTTTTCTCTTGGTTTGAAAAAATTATGTTTGCCAAGAAGATGCACAATTCTACAGTAGATTACTGTGAAAAATATGGACAATGTAAATGAGCCAACATGCTCGACATGAATAACCAGTGACAGCAGTAGCAGCGAATAGAATTTATCTATAGTATGTAGTTTAGTGAATGTGAGTGTATAGTACAGTGAATGCGAGCTGAGGTTCTGAGGAATATCTGCACTTTGCTTTGCAATGAGTTGTGGGCGGCGATAACTCCTGCCTTCAATTCAGATATCAAGGTGATATATTGGGAGATAGCGCCGCCGATATAAAGGAGGGTCAGATTCTAATCTCACCTGGATCCATGCGTGGATGGCTAACTTCCCACACTCCATGACAAGCAAAAATCAGATAACGCAAGACACACCCTGATGAGAGACCACATTGATGGCACTATAAGACATATAAAAAGGACTATGCTTTCACCATGCTTTTGAAATCGACAGTCAAAGTCAGACCTGGGTACCTAGTTAGATACTTGATTTATGTTGATTCGAAAATAGTTGATATGCTCTTCATGCCTTTTGAGAATAAGCAGGATCGGAGTCATTGGATTTCGAAGGGACAAATACTTGCTTAGCAACACCAACATCTTTCTCACTCTTCCTAAACTCTTGTTTCCTCACTAGATGTCTATTCCCGAATATATTCGCGTTTGAAGAGGCGAGTCTTGCGCACCATCGATAAAATCTGCTCCATTACTTGCAGCTGGAGCGCGTAATCTGCAGGCTTCACCATTATTGATCATCGAAGCTTTTCCTCCCGGAATCGTTGGCCAGTTGCTTGTTTCTTTAAATCCGTGCTCATTTTCACCAGGAATTCCGTGCTCTGGACAACACGGTATTTGAGTAGCTGATGTACGCATTCGTTAGCACGTCTTGTGTCCATAGCTCTCATAGTTACTCAATCAAGTAAACATAAAAGCATCCTGAGGTTGTTTATGTGCGGTCCTACACTCGTAGTCTGACTATTGTATCCAATCTTTGACATTTTTGCATATAGTCTTCTTGTCGTTTTAGGAAAATCCCCTCGTTGATTTTTCGAGCTGTTTCTCATGTTTGTCATATGCCGTCATAAGAGATTGCAGTTATGACATCGGCAATAAATCCAGAGGAATGGCGAAGTATAGTAAATCGAGTGGTATCTTGTTGGGGCGGATATCAACTAGGAGTGGATTTCAATTCAGGTGGTCCTGAAACATTAGCGAAAGACGAGGTGCGCCAATATATTTTTTCTTATGAGGGGCATGTTGTAATTAAAATGATAGCGTTTTGAAAGTGTTATGATGTTGTGTTTAGTGGTTCAAAGATGTTCTCGCCGAATTTATCCTCACTACGAAAGGATTAAAAACAGAAGATTTGGAAGACTGGTTGAACAACATTCTCTATACTGAATTCAACCTAATTCTGGAAGACGACAGTGTTTACCCCACTTCTCTGCTTTTACATGAAGCGTTTGGGTAGGTTACAAATCGTCTGTAATCCATATTTTTCTAAGGGTTTCAGTTATATGAAGAATAATGATCGCATGCGGTTAGAACAGTTAATGAACAGTCTCCCGTCTGTGGAAACTGTACGTGAAGTGAGTATTCGTGCGCTATTGTTCATTTTCCTCTTCATCTTATGGATTCGAAACTTGTCTTATCAGGCGAACAAACGTAGTCAAAGAGAAGTTGACGATGACGATGATGAGATGGAACTTGATGATATTTCTGAAAGCGATGTTGATGACGAAAACTGCGGTAAGCCTGCAGCTTACCTAATTTTCATATTTTGTGGTTTTTGTTTTTGAACAGTTCTTTGAAAAATTTTGCATTTCTGTTTGGGAAAAACCATACGCTGGAATTCGGCTGTCGAATTCGACCGTCTCTTCTTTTGAGAGCCTACGGGCCTACGATATCGTGCAATAGTGCAACAGTTTGTTCTTGCTGTCTTGCGTGTGTTTCGCTTTTTGCGCTACAGTCAAACAACAGCATATTTTTTTTAGAAAATGTGACAGAACAGCCAAGGAAAGAACGACAACCTCGGATGGTTACCGATGAAGACGGATGGACTACAATACTCAAGAAATAATGTGCCGGCTTTCTCATTTCTCAGCTATATATTGCAAAGATAAGCTGCAAAAATCACAAGTTTTACTTTGGACAATACACGTCTCATTTTTAGACGCTTGCCTGCTGTGTAATAGTTATCCGCAAGGATATTCTAAAATTGTTGCTTTTTTGAAAATCGGTAGCTTTTTTCGATCGTAGCTAGTCTCTCTTTCTTCCTTCAAGCTCAATGCGTTTCTGCTGCTTGTGTCATCAAGTTCCATAATGTTGATATCTTCTGTCAGATTCGTCACTTAGCAACGCCCACATAAGGGCAGATGTTCACCCAATTTGACATAATTATTGTTGACCATTATCCAGCTGAATAGTCGTAACCTGCTCACGATAATGTATGTCAGGTTTTTTTTTTTTGAAATTTTGCTTGTGTGAAAATGGTACCATTTTTGATGCTTGCTGTAAAGTTGTTAATTTTCTATGGTTGTTGTTGTTGTTATCCAAATAGTTGATTCAAATCATCTATAAATAGTTTGTTGCAGCGACAAGTCTAAGAAGCATTGGGATTACCAAACCCATCATATTGTTATATGAATTCACATCATCAGTTTGCTTCTTGTGTCGCACATTTTTTTACATCTGCTAATCCCAGGCACCTCCTTACGGTTGCATTATGCATTTTGCATGCTTCTTTGCTTGGATCTTTCGTTCTCTAATTACTCTGTGGTCACAAACCAACATTTTACCATAAAATCTGGCACATAGGGTCTCCCCTCATATAAGTCTTTGTGAAGTTGGACTCATTTTACAAGATTCTAGGGTAGGCGTGACGAAAAACACTTATTTACAGGGCGGACTCAACTGAAGACGGTTATGTGGGTAAAAATGCGGCCTTGTGCCAGCTGTTAGGGTATATTCATGTCTCTACAGAGAAGCTTTTTTCCAAGAATTTCTCTTGTCAATTCTTTTTTTAATAGTACTTCAGCAATTTCCTACTATGTCCCTGCCTCGTTAATGAAACTGGAGGTTATGAAAAGCGCTGATACTGCCATTATGTATGCAGGTTGAGCACGCTACATGTGCTCAAGTGTTGCTGTACCTGCAATTTCCCCTTGCAACTATCTAGCACGCAGTTCTTTGCTTCTCTTCTCGACAATTAGAATAACCTTTTAGCGTCTCCTAGTTGCTTCAATGTCAGTGAAATAGCTAAGCCTAGTTTGTCGCTCCCGCTTTTCTTGCAATGATACATTCATCAACATATTCGCGAGGTTTAGCGAAGCGCATGCTATCGATGCTGTTGGGCGAATTACATTTTTGATGAGGCTGCGTGTTAGTACACATGAACATAGTATCGCATGGCAAGCTGTGAAATTTTTTTTTTTTGCATTTGACGAGTAATTCAGGTTTTTTGGGAGTGGTATAGCGATAGTGACGAGGACTGTGGAACTTCTTTATCGCTTTATCAGCACCTACTTTGCCACAATTTCTTTAGTCATCAAAATTACGTTTCTGTTTCTGCTGGTTTTCTTTAGTTTACAACATCTATCTGTTCTTTACTTCATGAACGTTGGTGTTTATTGTGTCAGTTGCTAATTACTCTGAAGAGAATGGAAAAATCTTTATGAAAGAGAAGTTCATAATATTTACCACATTCGTTTCACTAAGACTCCCATACGGTCTAACATGTCGCCTATAACCAGACTAAGTTTTTGATACACTTATCCCCTACCTCTGCTTCCTTGAACTTACTCCTTCCAACTTTTTTCCCCACTAGCGTATTTTCAAGTAATTTTTCCTTGTAACTCTGTAGCTGTTTTGTTGAGAGAGATACTTTATAAGTTCATACTTTATTAGTTTCCGGCGTGGAGCATTTCTATGTCACACTGTTCGGTGGATGAGCTGCACACCGGCTTGGCAAATGCCACCAAGGAAACGCATAGCCTTTGGGAAGAAAATAAAGATTTGCAGGTATGTTAGACTATCTAACTTCGAATGGCATTTTGCATTTCTTAGATTTAGTTCAGTTTTGCAACTTTTGAAGAATGATAAATTGAAATGCGTTGACATAGCTGTTTTTAGGGAAGGTTTGTCAACGACCTAAATGAAATATCACGAATCCAACAAGCTATCGCTCAGCTAGAGCGGGAACATCGTCAGGATCAGTTGCAACATGTGAGGAGAGTTTTTTTTTGTTTGGTTTACAGGTGTATGAACAGAGTTTCAGTGAAGTTTTTTTTGACAAGTTTGATTTTCTTCGGAGTTTTCGCAGTACTAGGCAAAAGAAGAAAAAAAGAGAACCCGTTGTCAACGAAAATGTCATGTCGACTGAAATCTCTATGCTGTTTTTACTTTTTTCAACAGTCCACTCTCAAGCTCATTGGTAACTTCTGCAGGCTCGTCAGTCCATGACGGAAATGCAAAGGAGAGCATCGCAGTTATACTCTGTACTGACTACGAAAAGAGAGGAAATTGTGAAAAAGTTGAATGATGGGACCAATTTCGTTGCGTTATTGCAGGTTTGCTCCTTTCTTCCTTGCAAATGGCATTTTTTGCGGATTTTTATGTCATATTTAGAACCAACTCATCAGTGAGCGTCTTTTTGACTGGAAAAATCGACAAAAACTTGCTCAAGTTGGCGTTCCTTTTGATAATCGTGATGTGATGCTGGATGAAATACAAATGGAGTATGTGAAATTTGTCTTGCTTTTGGGGCTTATGAAAATCATTCATGTTTCAGATTCGAGTTCTTAGCAGAGCAGAACTGGCAGTTGCATATGTTTGCCAGTTGGACGTTAGATCTACTCACTAGAGGTGAGTCGCGATTTAACCATGGTGCGCAGCTCACATTGAATTTTGTAGGACCACAAGTGAACGACAGTCATGCTCATTCGACAGCGTCAAATTTGACGACCTTAGCTGATCAGCTGACGAAGTTGCTGTTTATGTTGATCTCGCAAAGTTTTGTGGTATCCGTGCAGCCGGAACCCGTACTAAAAACGCAGCACAAGTTTGTGACCGAGGTGGGACATAATTCCTTTTTTTTCATCAGCTTTGTCATCTATTGAATGATGGGCAGGCTTTGCTTTTTTCGATATATATTTTTTTCATTCTGTAGGATTGTCAATACAATCACAAGCATTACGGTATTCTAGGTACGTCTGTTGATTGGGGACAAACTAGGCATACGACAACATCTGGTAAACACAAATGTGACAGTCAAAATCATCGCTGAAGAAGAGGCAAAACTGCTAAGCTCTACACAGATGAACCACAAGGAAATGTGAGTGTGTTACCACCCTCACGGTTCATGCCACTTCTGTTCGAATTCAAAGTTTAATTTGCTTCAGCAAGACAGTAGGTAACATTAGTAATGACTATGAAAAAATGACGATGGACGAAAAGGGACATATGGCAGCGAAGTTCAACAACTCGGTAGTTTCAAATCGATCGAAATGTTTCAAATAATGAGAATGGTTCAGAAACTGACTCGAATTGCTCATCGCAAACCCCCGCCAAAAGGAGCGGGAGGAGATATGAAATGTTCCTTGAGTGCGCAAGCCGCCACAGACCAGAAATATGCGTTGCTGTTTCATATCAGCCCATTCCAGTTAGGGAATCTCGGGAAGGTCCGGAGCTTTTGACTGGCGAACGTTATTTTATTAAGTTATTCTTTTTTCAATAAATTAGCTGTTTACAGTTCGATGTTTGGACTCTTTCTCTTCCTTTGATGGTTACAGTTCATGGTTCACAAGATTGTGACGCACAAGGGGCTATAGTTTGGCATCGAGCGTTTGCCTCAGTGGTAAGTCTGCGTCGTTATTGAAACTACCCGAATCAGTTATTATTTTTCAGTCACGCTCGCCGGGAGCAACTGATATAGCCGCAGTAGCTTGGAAAGACTTAGCACATGTTCTGAGACATAAGTTTACGTGAGTCTTTTCATCAATCCCATTGGCGAAGATTACAGAAGATGAAAGTCATTCAGGTTGTTTACCGGAGCTCGACGTCCGTTGTCTGACTCCGATCTGAATTACCTCTCTGAGAAATTGCTCGTACCCAATGTGCCAGATCAGAAGCCGATTACTTTTCACCGATTCGCCAAGGTCTGATTCCTTTTCTTACTTCAAGCAAAGCTTTCACTGTTTTTCTGGTACAATTCAGTGCACGGAACATAATCGATAATGTCGAACATACAGCTTCTCCAACATGCATATGTCCATAATTATGTGTTTTTTTTTTTCAGCAAAACCTCCGTGATGATGTAGCCTTTTCATTTTGGGAATGGTTCTTTTCAATCATGCAGCTTATAAAACAGAAGTTGCTCAAGTTTTGGGATGAAGGTGAGTTCCACTTCGCGTTGAAGTCTTAGGACACTAGTCGTCTCACTAGTTCCATTCGGGTTCCTTTCTGCTTCAGGTTGGCTGGTGGGCTTCATATCAAAACAGGATGCTTCTCAGTCGATGATGTTGTCTAGTCATCCTACATTCCTTCTTCGATTCAGCGATACTCAGACAGGAGCTGTAAGTATAGGATTCGTTTGTGAAGATGACGACGGGCAGAAAGGTAATCTTGTCTTCCTCCTTCAACCTTCTCAATACTGAAAATTCAGTACCGTTCCATCTCGCGCCATTTTCTATCAAGGATCTAGATCAGCTGTCACTGGCTCAGCGTATAGCTAGTTGTCCGCAGCTCAAAGAGATCAGGTAAGGGTATCTGTATCACTTAAAAACTTTCTGCGTGATGAACAACATTTGTACAGTTTACACTACTCGAGAGGTGGATGTGATTCAAACTAAGGAGGAAGTAAGGATAGCATCGTTGTAGCATAGAAATGAACAGAAAACCTAGCTTTTTGTAACGTGCAGTCATGTGTAGCATCTAGCAGAATCAGCTTGTTTTTGTTTTGCAAAATTGTTCTTGTCGGGACTCTAGAGACAGTTAGAAGGGGAAGGTGATTTGTGCTGCTTCCCTTGTGATGTTATTTTCATAGCTTTGAGAATGGAATCATTTGCAGGTATCTGTATCCTCATATGGATAAAGAGGAGATGCTGCGCTATTTCGATAGCGAAGAACGGAATCGTGGTGGTCCAGACAGTCCCACTGGTTACATACAGTCTGAAATTGTAATGGTTGCAAAAACCAGCAAGTACGTCTTTTTAGGTACATCTGTTTCAGCATCATTACCCACTAAATATTCTTTACAGCAAACCATCGTCTGCTTCGGTGTTCAGTGGGGGCGACTCGCCGTCGCCGCTTTCTGTGCAATCAAAACTCGATTGGTCACCCGGTGAAGTGGTTCAGCCTATCCAGTCGATGGACATGTAAGTTATTCAGTCACGATCGTTTTTTCCATTGTCCTCAGTTTGCCGCTTTAGTGCGCTTCGCTTCATATGAATTTTGAATCGGCAAAAAATAACATTCAAATGTTTTTTTTTCACTTTTTGAGGGCAACTTCAATGAGCATGATGGTAAAAATCCTCAACCTAGAACTTGCTGAGAAAGTATTAGGTTGGTGAGGAAGGAATGTCGTTTTTCATAGCAAAGCAAAAGACGAAGACGAAAACATATGTTAGGGGTACTATTCGATAGGGCAATGAAAGCGTTACAAGATGATCTTCCAACCTTGGCAGAAGTCTTATTTTACGCAAAGTTCCAATCCAAAACATAGGAGCAACTCACGATGGTAAAAATCGGATTTTCAATTTAAACGATCCCACGAACTTCTAATTTGCTCCTGCATTTAACAAACATATGCATTTGTTCATAGGTATGCTTGCTATATTTTTTTCGTGCTTATAAAACAGAAAAAAATCGAAAAACGGAAAATGACAGACTCCGCCCCCAATAGTGCTGGGCTCCTCCCATACATGCCGTTGTATACTGCAAACCCTCATTATTCGAACCATAAAATTTGTGCCTCGGGTATGAGTGTCTAGGCAGACAATAGCTTGAGCTCACAGCTAGCTACATATTGCTGTCTTATTGCTTTGCTATGAAAATGACAGACTCCACCCCCAGTAGACTGGGCGTTCTCTCCTTCCCAGCCAAAACGCTCTTGATAGCTGGAAATTGCTCCACTATCTTGGACTTCGATTGAAAGGCAATTATTCAGTGGCGACGATCTTGCGACCATGCTATCCTCATCTGCCTTGGATGGATGCAGTAATCAGGGAGATGTGGAATCCCTTTTGGGGCCAGGTTTTCGTCCACAGCTGCCGTCGCAACCCTTGCAACAAGTGGACCTTTCATTTGTGGACTCGTACAGTAACCCTGCTTTCTATCATCATGAATGAAGCCCTAGCCTTTTTACTACTGGACAACGCGATATAAGCTAAGGTTAATTGAATTCGCTAAGCTTTTATTTTCACCAGTTCGTAGGCTGTTAGGTTTGTTCGCTCCCTTGAGTATCTACTGGATGACTACGCATTTCATCTCTATCTTCTCACTTTTTATTTTTCTGTATTTTTGTTGAAGCAGCAGCAAAAGTAGGAACGGTCTCTGTGAGTTGAAAATGCTTTTTTTTGTTGAGACTATGCATTCGTAGCGCCATTGTCTAGCAGTTTTGCCATTTTGGTACAACAAGCAATACGCTCGCGAATGCAGCGCGAAGCTTTGGTAAAGCGTGAAAGATGATTGACACAGATCATACCCGTCCATATTAAGTTGTGCTGCAGGTTATTTATCCGCAAGAAAGGTCTGACAATTTTTGATTTAAGTTTTCAGCAGTATCGCACTATTTGTAGCATTTTGCTATCTCTACCAGCAATTCTTCCATTCAATCATCATCATTATGTTTTGCAGTAATTTGAGGTCAGAAACATGCTTTATTTTCTAGTCTACTTTTGTGCATATAATGTGCAATCTGCATTTTGCTTCAATTAATAACATATCGCCCTTACTTCTTCTATGACTATCAACTAAGCTCAGTTATTCTGATATCATCTTTCGAATGTACATATTTTGTGATCTCTGATAATCTTCTCAGTCTTGCAGTGCTATAACAATTCTCAGATTTCTAGTCTACTTTTTGTATTTTTTCTACTTAATGTTCTAAACCAATGAATTTCGATGTTCATAAAGTTGTTCATACCAATTTCTTTTTTATGTTGTATATATTGAAAGTCAAACTCGTATTCGATGGAACCCAGCATCCATTGCTGAAGCATACGGCAATCGGTGAAATGCTTCTCGTTCCATGTGGTCATCTCCACCCACCCACTGACTAGTTACTACATCGCCGCCTTTGTAAATGAGCTTCGCCGGACGAAGAATGCGCCTAGAAAAAGGTTTGGTTAGCAGTCACTCAACTATAATATTCAGTGTATTCAGCAATCACAAGGCTTTCTGTAACATGCTATCAATTAAATCAGCGTTCACAATGCTAATTTGCCGGACTTTCCGAATACTATTATTTATTATCCCGCTATTGCTGATTCGGCTCCTTCAAGACCACTAAATGGCTTTTTGGAATTACTTATGGCTAACGCCTAGCCCCAGGTTGAAATGGCAAAATTGCTTTTTCTGTGGAAACAAATAGGCAGGCTTTAGTCAAGCCGCCGCGCTAAACTCTAAGATGAATCAGTTTCTACACCTCATATGATTCTTCCATGGCGGCGAAGGTCAGTTGTAAAATGCAGCCCAGACCGTACTTTTTTGATTGGACCAAGCAGCGTCTTCGAGTACGGTAGGAAGTATGGTGTGGGCTGGAGTTTAAAGAACACTTGGTCACAAATGCGTCTGAGCTGGAGCCTGGGCATGGGCTCAATTGGAGGCACAGTCCACCCTGACTCTCGACTCCCATGTTTTTTTTTCGTTCCGGAGCTTTCTCATGTCCCTGATCTCGAATATGAGGTCGAGAATCCGCGAAATACCTGACAATCCCCAACGGCGATAGGATGGGCGGGCATTACTGGAGAGGGCGGTGTCGGTTAGGGGTCCTCATACTTCTTCGTTATTCCGAAGTGCCGCGGCCTGGGCATTGGCTGATGGAGGGTCCCACTATCGCATGCTGTCAAAAGCCCTAACTTAGGGGGGGGGGGGGAAGGGCGGCGCTTTTGAGGCTTTCTAATAAGTTTTTACATATAAACCAAATGCCCATATTTGCCTGAATACTGCCGTTAACGGGTTGATAAAGGTGAAAGTAGCGAGAAGCTGTTTGCTCATTTCCCGCTGTCTTATATGTTTGAAATTTTCAAGCAGAATCATTTCTCTTTTCAAAGGCATTCAAAACCTTCAGAGTTTAAGAGATCTTGAAATTCAGGCAAACAAACGCGTTGGGGACCGTTCAGCAGATGTGAAAGGCAGTTCTGGTCAGCTCTGTCATAATGGCATACTCGGTTGGAAGCCATTAGGTCCCACAATCCGCTCATAATTCTAACCGATACAGAGTAAGAGTGGTCCATGTATGAAAGAAATTTTGGTAGGCTAATTATCACTTTGTGAATTGTAATAGAATAATATAGTCTTCTACTCTCCCAAGCACACCTACTAATCAATGACCACTATAACCTTAAAAGATCTATACTTACCTGTAAACAGTGACTGGTCGACCTTCAACTCGTCCTTCGGCAAATCGGATATTTACAGGTCGCTGAGGGGGTTCTCTGTTGTATATGCTGAGCGACTTGTTCGATCTGCAATTCAAATACGAAAAGATGAATAATGATTTGTATTTGGCATTTTTAAACGCAGTTTTTTAAAGCTCACAGGAGTTTAGAAATGGATTCAATCTTGCTTGAAGGGTCCAAAAGATGTAAGGGTGGGTGATGGATAAAATAGATTATGGAGAGGGGGGAGGGAAGTGGATGGGAGGGCGAAAAATAAGAGTTGTTGCTTTTAGTCTGTGTGGATCATTCTGTTAGTCTTAAGACTTTTCAATATCAAACCAAAATTCTACAATTAAATAACTAGTGTATTTTCTGGGGATAAGCTACGACACACATTTTTGGCAAGCTCATTTGAATGATTAGAAAAATATACGAATAATATCCAATGAAGTACCTTTACAGATATATTGTTCAACCAATCTTGTTTCTTAAAGGCATATTTTAAATAATATGAACTCAAATATGAGGCCTAGAGCAGAAAGTTACCTCTCCTCCTTTCCAAATGCGCCTAGCAATTAGTCTAGGTTGACCAGTGAGCACTACTGTAGGTGATTGTGGATTCATGATTCCGTCTTCCATGACACATTCAGCAAGTGAAAAAACAGTTAGCAACAGAATAATGTACATTAGTTTGCCGTACGGAAGGATCAGAGTATCCTTCTGATACTGAACAAGTTTTTTCTTTTATACTCGGTCAGTTTGAGCGAACATTACACAGCCGTTGTCGCTACAATTAAGCATGATTTAGCAGTCACTAGCCGATAGTAGCATAATGTGACCTTGTCTGCGAAGCACAACTGCCAAATACTTCGAGTCTTTTCTATACTCTTTGCTGTCTGTGTTTTGTACATCGTAGTATCGAGTAAGAGTTCAAAGCACAAAGGTTATTATGGTTTCATCCGGCACGTCGTAGACGTTTCTTCGGTTAGGAAGTCACTTCAAAACGAAAAAAGTAATTTTCCAAATCTTCAAACATAAGACGCTTCACCTACAATCAAGGCGCATCTTCCTCTTAGCACATCTGAATCTCACCCAATCGAAGTAAATACAGCGACCTTGGGAAGATTACTTCACATCTGTTTTGTTTTCCTTGAATCATACTTGTTATAAGGAAAGAAACATTGAATTAGAACAACTGATGGCTTCCATCTTATAAGAAGAAATGAGAACGGTGGGGATTTGAAATTTGCGGCCTTGTTAAAATTATATTGTGGGGGACAGAGTAAGCACATAGGTGGCAGCCTAAAAAATCAAGGAATCTAAGTCCTAGAAACAAAAATTACCCTAAAGACTGGGTTAGTCCGGTTTATACCTCCAAAAAACTCTCCGCAAGTTTGTAATGTAACAAAAATACATACGATGCTTTTCAAACTGTTTCATACAACAAAGGCTTGATTCCCAGCCCATGATGTTAGAATTTTTTTGCGGTGGCGCAGAAGTATTATATTTTTAATCATATCGTTCATATTCATACTGTTGGTTGTTCTATCGGTGAAGTGATTTTTACTTTCCAAGCATGTGATATCATTGTCTGGACCATAATTATTGCATCACGGAAATTATATGGCTGCAAAAAATTCCTTTTTCAATGCTACCTACGCGCTATTTAAGTCGGCAATCTCATGGAAACATATTCATGGTCTAGTGAAAATGTCACCTAATCTCTTGTTCTCTTTGAGAGAACATGATAAAAAAAATATACGGTCTATCGTTACAGTCAATAACAATCACTGTTTTTTGTTTGCGGCTTTAACTTTTCACATAAGCCAGCTTCCCATTTTCTTCTATACGTCAATTTTCCTTCACCGCACTGAAACATCATTGAAAAGCAATTTCTGACTTTATTTAAAACGTCATTCCAGGTTTCAAATGCCGTCCATCTTCTTCGCTGCTTTCTCATTTCTGAGTTGCGCGAAAAATTTTTCAGCTCCAATATAATCTGCATATCTGGGCGCATTCCTGGTTTTCATTGAGAGGTAATCAGCAAAAGTGGGAGGAAGCTGTTGTTGGCTTGATATCAGCAAGTAGTCGTTGTCTAGCGGCAACCGGCTGAAGTACGGTAAGAAGTACGGTGAGAGAACCACTGGCATTGGCAGCGGTGGTGGTGGCTCTGGTATTGGATTTTCTATGGTTAATGGAGCTGCTACGGAGATCTCAACAGCTGCTGGTGTTTCTTCGGTGGATGAAGGCAGCGGGAAATGTTTGTAGTTAGCATATCTAAAAAAATTTTTGGGTAGCTGACAGGTACATCTCAGACAATTCACTGGAAGTTCCGCAGGACAAGCAAAATTTGCAGCGGTTCCGCAGTATGAGTTTCCGCAGGCTTTGTCAGAAAACGCTGCGAGGTTCTGAAAAATGACAGCGGTTCCGCAGCACTTTGACGTGCCAGTAATTCCGCAGGTCGCAGGTAGCGCAGAAGATAGTGAGTGAGTCCCGGAGTCAATAAAGCAATTCCAACCTCACTCAAATGTTTTCGTTGTTGTGGTTCGCATTCTTCGGAAATTCCGCAGCACCTCGCTTGGCGACTTCCGCCGCACAGTTGTGGGACTTCCGTAGTTGATCCGGCGGAGCTTTCTCAAAGTTCTGCGGAGTTCCCATCAGTTGTGTAAGAACCCAGACAACTAACTGGAACTTCTGCGGAACGTTTGGAAAAGCTCCGCCGCGTCACCTGCGGAAGTCCCATAAACGTGCTGTGGAAGTCCCCAAATGAGGGCCGCAGAATTTCCAAAAAATGCGAACCAAAAATTAGAACATCTAAGCGAGAATTGAACCTTACTTATTGACTGCGGGACACTATGCTATCCTTTGCAATATAAGTGACATGTTCGATAATGCATTCTAGTAACTGGGGGGCAACATCGTACGAAGCAACAGATTCAAAACCCTGCGGAAGTAGTGGCATGGTAAAGTGCTGCGGAATCGCTGGAATTGTTCGGAAGTTCCGCGGCGCTTTGCAAAAAGTCCTGCGGAAGTTACCGTTTTCAACCAGACTGACGTAGAAATCTGCAGAAGCTCTCATTTTCAACATTTCAACTTTTGCTAACAAAATCCTGCGGAGCCGCTGTAAATCTTGCTTGCTTGCGGAAGTTCCGGTGAATTGTCTGAGAAGGTGAAACAACGCACTTGAACTTATGGTCAGGGCCCGGTTTGTAGATATAAGCCGGCAATGGTCCTATTGTCGTTTCGGGAGCACTACTAAAATACTAATAAATCATTTTGATCAAAATTTCAAACTTTTATGAAAACCTCTTTATGTCCTTTAACGTCGAATCGCCGTCCTGCACAACAACTGGATCAACAGAAAATGCTAGTAACGGTAAAGAAACAAGGATTAACAGTAACATGCTATAATTGGGGTAACTCGTCCAAGCAAGCTTTTAAGTAGTCTGCACAGACAATTGCTACGCAAGTAACCAGTTGTTCATGTCCGCTCCCAATCATGCGGTTCGGCTCTGGGATGTCGCAAATTAGATGCAATCTCTATATGGAACAGTTCTATGCGCAACATGGAAGAGATATGATATGCGAGAACAACATCATCATAGCCCAGACAAAATAGTCACAGTCTTGAAAAAACTGCTCAAAGTTGTAAAAAAATCACTTAAAAGTAATCGTTGCCGGCATTATCTTGGTAGAATTCTATTTTCAATTAGAGGAACTTCTATATATGATAGACCTTGTCGAACTCTAATTACTTGAGCTTTAGAAGAATTTTCGGTTTCCGTTATCCGGACCCATTTTTTCAAAAGGTCCTCATAAAATACGTTCTTTAGTCTAAGAACAATTTTCCGTAGATTCTGTGAAGACTGCCTCCCCGCCACGCGTCAGGAAATAACTGACACGTTCTAGTTCATTTTGACGTGTTTTTTTCGAAATCATTTCCGGTGGTAAATGATCATTTGTGATCATTTAAAAGCCTTTCAACTGTTTTCTATAAGAGGAAAACTGTCTAGAACTTATCGCAGAACATTTTGATTGCTTTCAGCAGTAATTCAAAATCGTCTTCTTCTTCGAACTTTCCGCCATGCAAATTTAGCCAAAAGAGACTATAAATCATGGTCTCCATTCTGGGCAGGTCTGATCTGTTCAACGATAACAGGATGACGTTATTATAAAAACAGCGTTTGTTTCTGGAATTGTGCAGTTGAAAAAGGGGTCATTATTGATTAACCCATTGATGACGATGTGGACCACCGGTGGCCCACGCTTTTGCTGCCAGAGACGATGTGGACCACCGGTGGCTTACAGCCCTTGCAAAGTCATATGCTTTCCAGGTCCAGTGTTTTTCCATAGTACAGTATCTTCTAATTTTTTGCATTCTTGGAAGCTGTGGACTTCGTCGTCCATGAATATGATTGTAGCTGTTCACAAAAGAACTTTATATCTTGTGAATAATTACAAAACTTTCCCACACCGAAAGTGTTGTGTTATATCGCGTCGTCCCACAGCGCCGGCACGCAAAATTAGGCGTCGTCGTCAATGGGTTAAAAACAGAATGAGATTACGCCGTTAGGTAACGCAACACAAGCCCTTGGTAAAATCCGTTAAACATGTGAATGACATGTCAAATTTTTTTGACACGTGGCAGAACGTTGACACTCCTTTATGTGAATTTGGGATCAAGTATGGTACACAAGGTCAGAAAAGATATCATTTTTTGAAAAATTGTGTCCGGATAACGGAAAAGTACCGAATTTTCTGATGACAAATCAGGGGTATACCGCAGGGCGTTTCTTGCAGTCCACAAATGGCAGACCTAACGTCATCAAAAATGGAATGTGAATTCAAGTGAATGTATACTGAACGTTGATGGCATACCATGCATTTGATGAAAGTTTGAAAGAGTTCTACAAATATACTATATCACTGTACTCTAGGTATAGAAAACGAACAGTAATCACTGACTTACTAAATTTATAGATTTGAACATGATCACTTCTTATAACTATGTAAAGTTTAGTCTTAATCACAAAGCGAGTAATTATATTGAATGTTACTGGATATTCCCATTGAACTCCAACGGTTCAAGGTATATACTGGTAAATCCACTGCCGTCGGAGATCCTTCGAATCTACCGAGATTGCTCAAGTAACCGAGTTTGAGGATAAGTTAAGAAGTTAAGTAGACTCGAATGATAAATGTGAGTGTGGGTTTTACGAACATTCTCTTCTAAGCTTCGATGGCTAGGCCATTGATTTTACAAAGGGTACGATTTGCAATAGTAATAATCTTGGCGCGGTGTCCACCGATGCTAAACTGCTAGGGTAACATCGCACGACTAGATTGAAATTATACTCATACACGTTACAGTTTTATTTTTTATCTACGCATGGGTCCCACTTATGCAGGCTCTGCTTTTTTTGTCAGTTGTCTCCATGTCTTTCTATCTTAGGCAAGGTCTTCGTGCTTTCGCAGGTCAGCCTTGATCCTTATCCATCCACCTCACCTAGTTTACCTCTGGGTCTATTACCTGGTGCTTCCACCGTCAAGGCTAGCCTCGTAATGTGGTTTTCCTCCCTTCTGCGCATATGGCGTGCCATCGAGTCTCTTTTCCTACATTTTCTGGGTTATTGGAGCCACTTTCATTCGGGCTCGTATATGTAGTGTCATTACAGACGTAGTCTTTCATTGTGACAGCTAAGGTCCATCGTAGCATCCTTGTTTCCCTGACACCGAGCTTGCGCTCTTCACCTAGCGTATGTACATGGCCGGCACTCACTACCATAGAGGGCTGGTGACCAATGAAGGTCCTGTACAGTAGGGACCTGAGCTGTACTAGCATTCGTCTGTCGTATAGAACTCCCGTTAAGGCTCTACACATAAACATTACAGTACTCGTCGCAAATCTCAAATGGGCAACAGATTTAGCCGCTTAGCTACTTCAGCAGGACGAGACGCAACTAAAGTGATGTCAGTTGGGTCACGTTAGGCGAGAAGGAAGTGGCTTGCGATGTTCGCAACTACCGTGATTTTGAGGAGATGATGAAACGGTTTCCAGAATGAGAGAGAGGATAAAAGGTTTCGCTAATAGAAAAATGTTTTCTAAGCGAAATCGCGGACGCCGAGGTTCCCTTCAACACGGTACTAAATGACAAAGCTTGCGCCGCATTCTGCTGAAAGCCCATCTTGTTTTGACAGCTACTATTGTTATTCTAACGTTCACTTTTTTGGTCGCTCGCTGTATTAAGATTCATTTCAACATTCATCCCTAGTTTTTTGAGTCCTTTGAGGCTCCTTGTCAGCTACGACGAGGATCTGCATGATTCTACACACCAGTGTAGTTCTAAGACTTAGAACTGGTTTTGTGTAAATACAATAATCTTAATTTGTATTTTGTCTTCTAACCTTTTCTTTGTTTTGTTTATATGCAGAAAAATCATACCTTATTTTTGTTCCAAGTGCAAGAAACCATAGCGTAAGCGTAAGCTTTCGCAATATCAAAATACATTTTCTTATAGCCAGCTCAAGGAATCCCTGTGTGACCATGATCTTCAAGTTTAAAATGCTGCCTTTTCTGCTTTCACTTTCTCTCTATCTTTATACTAGGCAAATATCTTGAACTTTTCGAAAGATGGATGAAAGAACATTTTGAACCTATTGCTACAGAGTCACGTTCTTTATTGCATGTGGAACCTCAGGCAGGAGTAAAACGCTCTTATATCATATCAAATTGCTTTTCTTTGTAAAAGGATGTTGCAATGTTTTTACAAATGAAAGTTTGTCCTTGTGCATGAGCTTTCTTGATGTTACTTGTGCTGTCGATAGTTGGGTAGCGGTTAGCTATCTTACTATATCATTCAATCATCACGCCATCATGTATCAAATTAAAGTGAAAATACGTATTCTATTCTTTACAGAACATTTCAATAACGTAGTTTTACTGTAATTCAACTTAGAATATTTTTTGAAGCAACATAAACGACTTCAAATGTAAAAAAGAGCATTTCAAATAAAGAAAACAAATTTTGGTCGTGGGATGCCGACAACATTGCTATATTTAGGATGAAGACTGACGCTACTGTTGGTCTCTTGTAAATTATAGTATCTTTATCATTCGCTGCTAGCAAAGATCTTAAGAAATTTGAATTTAAGACGATATCAACGGAAATCTACTTATTCGGCCTCGCCTGTCTGCCTGGAGAGTTTATTCATGTTTTGATGGCGGAGCAACAAACAGGCTGAAGCAGATTTTATCTTACTTTTAAGTGGTAGTTATAGCTATTAGTATAAGATGTGAGACAGTAATTATAATCATTTCTCGTATTCTTCGGAACTGCTCAAAGTAAATTCAGTCTACCCTTCTGCATTGGGGTTTCCGCAACAGAAAGATATAACCAATCTAATTTTAGGTGTTGGCAGCTGAGGAGTGTTTGTCTAGCTGTTGACTTGCGATTTCTGACCATGCCGTAGGACGAAAAGATGCCGACAAGAGACCAAGAGCACAATTTGCGCTGTACAGTGACATCAACAAGAGGACGTTTCGAGAAGTCGTGGATAGGGGAAATGAGCAGTAACTTACCATATTTTCACCTAAAAGAACAAGTAAGGGAAGCAGGATGGAAGGGCTGACGTTTGAAAAGTATGCTTGCTCCTAATGTTCGGTCAATTATTTTGGTTGTTTGCGCGGTATATGTTTCCTGGTTCAGTTATATAATATTATCCATACTCTTTACAAATACAGTTATTTTCTAAAAAAATTTGCTTCAATTTGAAGCAATTCAGTGAATGTTAGAATGATTGACTTGATCTGCTTGATCTGAGCTACCGTAATGCTCTCGAACAATTCTTGCAGCGTGCAAACAACTGTTAGCATATCTTGGCAAACAGAACAGAAGTCAAACGAATACAAACGGTATATAAGAATTCTGGCTTACATGAGGTTGAGCGTAAATGACACGTATTTTAAGAAATCGTTCAGCCTCTACAGTTCTATCTCCTAAGCAATTCATACTTTGTAGTTGACGGTTGTCCTCGAATATTGCCTACAATTGGGTTGATAATTTTTTGTAGCTACATTAGCTTTTTCGAAATATTTTTTCGTTCCAGATTATGCTTTTGTCAAAGGGCGTGTTGATGACCGCATTCGTTGTCTTTGCATCAACGGCGAAGGTAGGCGAAGTTCAAAAAAAAACATAAAGGAACTCCTGAAAAGTCAGGAGTAAGAACAATTTCTTTTCGAAATCTCTGAGGAAATATATCATTGTAAATTCATCCTTGAATAATTAGGCGTATTTGCAGCTTAATTTGAAAGCACACCCACGATACAGAAGACAAGATATGACACAGGTAGCTTCCACTTGCTTGGTTTGCATTCATGCTGAATGAAAAAGCTTTATAGTACCCT